ACAACACACGTGACATTCAGCGAATTCAAAACAATTATATAGTAAGTCTGAAAAAAAACATTTCCAGTTTCAAAACCCAGGAGAGGCTTCAGGGGAATGTAACCTACAGTACTACCTAAATTTTGTTTATGCTTGCTTTGACTTTCAGAGCCACTGATCTAAGGCAGCATCTGCCCAGCCTTTGGAATGACACACAAAATCCTTCCTTTTTAGTCTAGCTGCAAGGTAGCATTTTTGATACTGTGGGAAAAAGAACAACTTAATTACATCAACAAAGTAGCCATCAGCAATTGGAATAAATTATGTGGCAGTGGGGACAGGCAGAGATAAAGTGGGGAAACGAAGCCAATTCTTACTGGCAAAATTGACATTTTTTGAAAAGCCCATCATGGTGTCTTTCACACTTCCCCCCTGCCCTTAGATTTCTTAGAAAAGCCACAGCCTCCAAACGCCTTCATGCTATTTCTGGGCCACTGGCAGACCTGTCACTGAACTAGAAATRCTTTCTGTGTTTTACAAGATAATGTTAAATTTCTCAGCTTCAAGAGATGCTTTGAAAGGCCTSATTCCCTCTGCTCTGCCAGGTTTTGGTTTGGAGCAGGGAAAGCAGATACAAGACACCCAGACAGAGCATGGGGATTCCACTTTAATTCTTCAGCCTCCTGTAAGATCTCATCCAGGTCTTGAATAACTCTTCCAGGAGAACCAGGCATGAGGRGAGGATCAGAAAGAAAAACAGAGCAGAGCAATCTGATCCTGTTCCCTCTGCTGTCCCGCAGAAGGCGAGGGCAGCTCGCCCCATTTGATGCTGAATAAGGCAGGTCYCAATATTCCTGGTTAAAAACTGGAAATTTGAATGGGATGGCTTTGAGTGGCAACCATAAACTGATCCTGAATGTTTTTGTAGAGACGGAAAGGCTGCAAGGGAAAGGCTGAGAAAACACGAGTGCTAATTGACATTGCTCTCCGCTCGTTGGAGGAAAATTTCCCATTTGCACAACCACCAATAAAACTCCTTGATCCATAGGAAAAACGCAGATTTCTGAGGAAGCAGAAACAGGGGGTTTCATCAGTCTCTGCTGGCTTTTGTCCACTCCTTCTGTCACCTCTTCCCCAACTATGTGCCGTGGGTTGCATGTCCAACACACACCCCAAAGAGCTTGATCCAACCTCACAGAAGCTTTAGGAGAAATCCTTTCTGTCCTTTCACACTTCCCAGCACCCAGGCAATCAYTCAAATGCACCCATTCTACCCCAGACTGTCAGCCAGCCTTCAAACTGGYATTCCATCAGTGTGAGCAGCTAGTTACACCAGGAAAAAATCTTCAGGCAGCTTAGAGGCTGGGAAAGCAGAAATCCTGGGTGGTTTTCAGGGCAGTCTGTCCGGGGTGCTGCTCRCTCCAGCCCTGGTGGAACAGCTCAGAGCTGCAGGAGTGGCCTCGGTGGCCGAGCTGGACAGCACTGGACACACTTTGGTCACCCAGGGAGGCTCTTCTGTCACATGGAACCATTTGAGCTACTTACAGTGTGACATTTCGGTGTGAACAGCAACAACAACAACAACAAAACGCCGCAGCACCGGCRGCGCAGAGCGGTCAGCAGTCCRTCCATCTGTCCATCTGTCCATCCATCCGTCCCACGGGGCAGTGCTGGCAGCCAGGAGCCACTGCAGGGTGACCTCACAACTTCATTTTCTTCACCACAGGGATTGGCAGTGCTTGGTAGATCTTGGCYGAGTCCTCGTCGGTCTCCAGCTTCACCCAGACGGGGCGGAAGCTGCCTTTGAAGCCCACAAAAGCCATTTTTTCTGCAAATCAGAGCAAATGTATTTGGAATGTGCCAGAACCCACCTGTGTGTGTGTGTGGCTAAACCCCAAAATATCCCACAGCTGACTGCAGCAATGTGCACATGGAGCTGGGCACAGCTATCTAGTGAAACACAGGATGTTCTGAAATCACCATGCTTTGTGCCATCAAGTCACAGTGTTTCGAGAGAAAACCAGGTAAAAAAAAGTTCAGATAAGTTAAAAAAAAATGGGTTTGGGGCATTTAGTTTAGTTAGTTTGGGTCACTGGGGGGAAAGGCCCAATATTCCTATTATTAAAAGGTCTTTTTATTTAAAATTAATCTGGAAAATCAAACCCCTGAATTATTTACTTCTAAGAACAACTGCCAGAGCTCTTTTCCCATTTACAATTTTAAACTGAGAATGTAACCCAAAGCTGCAGTGGACACAACCTTTCTGAATAAATAAATTTCTGGTCCCAGTATGTCTGGGCAAATACTGATAGAAACAATCAAAACAAAGCTCAGAAGCAGAAAAWTGGTCCCTTTACTGGAATCATGGCAGGTTAGAATTGAGATTTTAAAAAGTGCTTACCTTTTAACCTAAAACCCTCKCCTGCTCCAAGTTTCTCCAGTACTTTGGTCCACGGTCCTCTTGAAATGAATCTTCCTTTTGATGTCACCAGCACTATGGAGCTGAAGGAAACAGAGATGTGGAAATGGATGAAGAGTCAGAACAAACTCCTGGTTTGTTTATCCCCAGCACTGGTAACTCCTCCTGTGTGTTCAGACACCCCTGAGCTGCAGCAGCTTCAGCTTTCATGGTTTTCAAAATGTTTTCCAACAGTTTGCTCACAGATTATTTTTCCAGTCGTGCAAAACCCATTAGAAAGCAGACAAAAGCCACAGTTTTTGTTTTTAAACATGGTTTTCTAGGATGGTTTAAATGTTTCCAAYCTGCAGCTCCATCCTGCTCTGCTCAGAAAGACCCATCTTCTCCCTGGGATTTTCTTAGCAAGTCTCAAGTAATTTCTTGTTCTTTCRTTAGCAGGTTAAACCTGAAGAAATTAATTTGTCTGAGACTTTTGCTGCCTTGATGCTTTTCCTTTCTGTGTGCTTATTTTTAAAAAGTGTATTAATATTATTATTACCGTTCCTGACCAGGAACTGGATTTAGCCAGGATTGAAATAGGGATTTTTTGTAAAGCAGGATGATAGCCTTTCTGAAAAGACTTATTTTTTTTATGAAAGAAAAGTGAGCAACTATCATGTTTCTCTGAAGTAACTATTGTGATTTTTGCAGCCTCTAGAATTCTTTAGGACAATACAAACACATCTGACTCCACCTGCATGGCACTCTGCTCAAACTTCCCCCAATCTCCAGAGTAAATTCCAGAACAATATCCTGTYGGTGCCCATGGCTGCTTCAGCACTTATATTTGTATTAAATGTTACATATCAGAATTCAAATCCAAACACATTTCGTAACAATTAAATAATTCCCTTCCCACAAACTCATATGGGAACAACCCCTTTGGTTGATGGGTTTGTGATGTGGCTCCAATTCTCCCTCCAGCAGAAGAAGCCACTGTACTCCAAGATGCAGGAACATCTTTTGGCTCCTGACCACCTCTTTCCAAACCTCTGCATTCCTGCCTGCTCATAATTAAAATAAAAAAGAATCCAGCCTTTAGGTCTGGGCAGGGGAATGTATTTTATTAGTGGAATTCTCTGCAATTTGAGAGAACATCCAGGCAGTAAAAAATGCAAGCTCTGCCCATCTGCGGGGATGTGAATTTGTCTGCAGTTTGTCCATAACCCACAACAGAAATGGAGCTCTGCAGTTTATTAATCACATGCAGCTCTGCAAATTATTTGGGGCTCAATCAGTCCCTAAATCAAAGAGTTTGCATCCTGCTGCTGCCTGCATGTCCTGCACTCATTTGGGCTCTTTTGGACTCATCAGGCACAAAAATACATCGTTGGGTGTCTGGCCTGTGCTGGGTGATAAAATCCAGGAAAAAGGATGAGTGTTATTATGCAGCATTCCTGGACATTGCAGCTGAGTGACAACACATTATTTACTCACTGATCTTTGATGTTGTTGACATAATTTTCTATCTGTGCTGGGATTCCYTGTAGGATGGAGTTTTTGAACGTTGCTCGATCCACAACTTTTCCGTGATGCCCATCAATCACAACCAGCTGGATGCCTTCATCAGTGAGGAAAAACCTGACACCATCAACCTGTGCAGGGGCAAAAATACTCTGGGTTTCTCACAGTAACACAACTGCAAACAACCACATGTGAGAAGCACGGATAGTCTCAGTCCTGGGACTGCTCTTTCCATCAAAAGGCAGAATTGCAGGTCTCTGAGGTCCAGCTGTCCTGCCCAATAGAAGATTCAGCCTTTTTTTTTTTTTTTTTTTTCCAAAATACAAAGCAGAAGTGACTTGACTAACTCTCCACAGTAACTTTGTGAGCAGGTTTTCCATGAAGATGAAGCAAGTGTCTTAGAATTGCACCCCAGTGTGTTTGTGGAAAGGATGGGCTCACCTCAATGTATGCAAAATCATCCTTGAGGTGGAAGTACTGCTTCTTGTATGTTTCTATTTTCACTTCTATTAGATGGTCCTTGGTTTTCTGTTTGCAAAACAAAAAAAAAAGAAAAACAAATTTTCTATTGAGAATGTCCATTTCCTGAATGCTGCATTTTCAATGAAAACATTTTAAACCTCGAAATTCAATCAACAAGGAAGCTCTGTAAGAAGCACTGACTCTCCAAATTAAATTGCTAATGAAACAGTGGTGACCCCTCTGCTCATCCTGTCCCCAGTTAAATTGTTTCACCAAATGGCAGAGTGATTCTTATTTCACAGAACTGACACAAAATTCTCTGAGGCTTTGCTAAGCATTCCTGTTTCAAGGGTGATGAGTGGAAAAAAMCCAAACAAATAACAGATAAATACCCCACTTCCTGCCCAGAACCAGACTGGATACAGGAGACCATGCTGTGGGTTATATGAAAGAGAAAAATTCAACTCAACTATGCAGTCCCCTGGCTGACACTGCTGTTTTTGCAGCCTGGAGGAGCTGCAGGCTCCAGAATCACATTCACTGGGCCAACCTCTCTTCCAGCTCATCAGTTTTCACCCTGTGCTTCAATTGCAGCAGAGCCCCAAATGACCCARGGTCCAACTTCAACCCAAGCCTCACGTGGCTCTGCACAAGAATCTGTTCCATATAATTTAACATAATTTAACCACTCCAGAAAGCCAGGCAGAGCTTACACCAACCCTGGCAGGAAGATTTTCCATTTCTCTGCCAGAAGCACAGATTTACACCAGCTAAGGAATCAGCTGCTTTACCAGTTGTGCCCTGGAGAGCTTCCTGGGCATGGGCACCTCCACAATGGGGGTCTCGATGTATTTGGGGTAGGCTGTGCTTTCACAGTCGCTCACACCAGCTGCCTTTGGGATCACGGCTTTGATCCGGATTCGCTCGCAGCCCTTCACMGAGCAGAAAGCGAATTTCTCCTTCTCATTCTGAGCTTTCAGTTTCAGAAACAGCAGCCTGCAGGCAGGAGGGGAAAAAAAGCAAACAGCATCCTTCAAAATTCATGCAGAAAAATACTGACCCGCAGTTCTGGTGGGCTCCTTCTTGTGCAATAATTTGCATTGYATCCCTTGGTATTGTGTTTTAGAGTGCCCAACATCCCACACGAAAATAGAAGGGAACACTCATCTCAGAAATGCTTTAGGGAAAGTAAAACAGAAATCAGAGAGCACCTGAATGCCCTCTGAGTTATATTCTATAGTCATACCTATATGCAGAAATATATGCTTTGTATTTTAGGTACTTCTTTCTTTCCCATTATTTTAATCCTTTAAAAGAGAATAACAGGCTCTACACTTCTGTGCATCCCTGTCATGGTGTTTATAAATGGTGCTGTTCAAAGCAACAAAGGATGTGCATGCCTTCAGTTAAGTTTCATGGTCTGCACTTTGCTTTTGTCTTTTTTTTTTTTTTTCCCTAATTTGTATTCACTTGGTGAAGCATTTCCCCAAGTAATTGGCAGTGCAGCAGAGGCTGTGAATGACTGGCAGCCATGGGAGTCCCAGGAAAATTAAACACAGGTCACATTCCCAGAAAACCTTCCCTGTTTTGTTGGGATCCCTGCTAGGATCCCCCCAAATGGCTCACAATTCCAGCAGCATTCCCAAAGCCATGCCCAAACCAGCAAGATTTGCTGCTATCCTACCCTGTGTCCTCATCCCAGTAGTAGTAGCCTTTGGTGGGATATCTGTGCTCCAGTTTCTCCATTTGRGAGGTTCTGTAGAAGGTTCCAGTTTTGTATGTTTTCTTCAAGAGACGGTTGTGGATGTCTGAGAGAATGGAAAACGTYGTCCCTTTAGGATAGCAAAACCCTACTTGGATCCAGTCATTCCTAAAAATAGCAATTGTAACAAGTTATAACATAACTGTTCCATTCCTGGCTGTGCTAGAAGCCAAACTAAATCATTCACAATAGGTTTTTTTCCTGGCCAGTTGAAATTTTCATGGTTTAGAATGGATCAATGCAACATAAATTCGACATCAGAACCGTGGGTTAGGTGAGCAGTGCTGGCCAGATCTGCTCCTGACATCCACACACCAGGAATGAATTAGCTCTGAACCTCCAAAAAYGAACTGTGTTATCTTACAGGGCTTCCCAGGGGAGGAAACAGAAATCTGGGATGTCTCATGGAAAGATGTGAACTCCACGGACCTCCTGGAACACGCGCRTTCCTTCTGGAAGGGCCCGTGAGGTGATTTGCTCACCCCATAAAAATGTGCAGTGCCACTGGTGGATMTGCTGGAATTCTGGAATGCACATCACTCACTTGTTGAAGTTGATGAGCCAAATGGCCAGCTCTTCAGGGGCTGTCTTGTCCCAGTGGATGGTGTAGCCTTTCCTCAGCGTTATAACTGGCTGGTACTGCTGGTAATGAGTGCTTTTGCTCAGAGCACCTTCCAAGTACAGTGGGTGATTGTGGTAGTCGTTTTTTATTATTTTCATTTTCAGGTTGGCTGGTTTGTAGGCTTGGATGTATATCTAGATAGGGGGGAAAAAAAAAAAACCCAAAGAAGGATCAGCAAGGGTTTAATGAACTACATGAAAGGTGCAGACACTCAAGAGAGGTGAGCTGTGCGCTGGGCAGGGACTTGTGCCCTGTGCATTTATGTTCCATTCCTTGGGCTTCTGCTCAGACAAAGCAAACTGCTTTCAGAACAAAAAAAAAAAAAAAAAAAAAAAAAAAAACACCAAAAAAAATAAGGCTCATTTCCTCATCCACTGATTTCATATGCCAGAGGAGGCTTCATGTGAGATATTCCACAGCATCCTGCAGCCCTCAGCAGCAGGACAGTATCTGCCTCAGACATCTGACTTGTGCTGAACAAGGACCCCTCTGTCTGCATTTCTGCAGCCTGAAACCCTGCACAGTGGTTGAAAATCAGCTGTAGGGGCACTGAACAGGAAAAACCCCGACATTTGCAACACCCAGGACAAAAACAGGCACTCTGAGCAGGGGGAAGTGAGGCCTCTCACGGCAGCAGCTCCGGGCTCTGCGGTGGGAGAATGGTTTGGTGGTCACACTCAGGATGGGAAGCCATGAGAGCTGCAGTCACATCTCAACCCATCAGCACATTTCCCAAAACACTGTAGGCAATGCTTCCCTCCATAAATCAGGGGGAAATAACCAGCCCACAGCCCATGGATTTATGAATATTAATCTGTGAGTGCCCAGGGAGCTCTCAGGAGGCTTTGGGCAGAAGTTGKTGGAGCTGTCAGCAGCCAGGGCCAGAATTTCTGAAAATGCACCACAGCATTTCTCACCTTCAAAGGCACCTGTGCAGACTGCTGATAAATAAACACTGAGCAGCCTGAAGAAAGTCCATTTCCACAGGTCAAGCCAAGAAATTCAAAATAAACCAAAGTGATAACGATGGTGCAAGGGGAGCAGCTGTACCTGTGCAAAGTGCCCGCTGCAGATGGAGCCTCTCCAGTCGGGCACGTCGATGCACTCGGGGTGTTTGATCAGCCAGTTATCCTCTTTGATCAGGTATGAGCCTGGGTATTCTGACACAGAACCATCCACATCATGGAAAACTGATGTTTTGTCACCATCCATATCCAGGTCATTGAACCAGGGGCCRGGCTCTCCAAAGAAGACTCTCGATGTAATCTGAAAAAAAAAAAAAACCAATGAAACACATTTACATCTCCAGAAAGGAATTCATCACTGAGAGTAGCAGCAAAGRATGCCTTTGGTCACTACACTGGATCAACCTGCACATTTTCTGACTTCATTTGGCATTGGAAAGTAGCTTAGACAAGAAATAGCATTGGGTTTGTGGGTCAGCTTCGTGCCTGAAGAAATCTGTATGCATTAACATCACCTTTAAATCCTGGCCACAGATTTTGGCTGCTCAGCTCCAGACATTGTAGCTTGATGTTTTCTGGCTAAAACAACCAGAATTTCAGCCTCAGCAGGGGGAAGGTTTGTTTTAAAATTCTGGAGGAAKGTTCAGGAGACAGGGCAGTTTCACGAGAGCCACTCCACTCTTTGTTTGTTAATCCAGTTTTGAGGTCCCAAATCCACATGAAATCATTCCAGTGTGGGGAATATTCAACATCCTCCCCTGTGAAATGGCTGGGCAGGCAACTTCTGACTGATATTTTCACCCAGAATAAATAAATATCATGTCACCAGCCTGCCTYGTGCAACGTGAGAGTGACTGGCCAACACTTTAGGGGAATTTTGCCTTTCCCATCACATTTGGCACTAATCAACACTTTTCCTGACCTGCGAGCAAGCCTGCTAAGTTTTTGAA